GGAGGGACAGAAAAGGAGGGAATATGTGAGGTCAATCTGGGAAGCAGTGAGCAAAGCCGGAATTAGAGAGGATTTGGGAAATAAGTGCCTGATGTGCCCTGGTGGTTCTGTTTCTGTGTATATATGAGCACGCGAGGGAAGAGATGGAGGATCAGGAGCGGTGCGTAGAGGTCGGGGTTTACGATGGTGGCGGTGGTGATGATGGCAATAGCAACGACAGTGTGATGCAAAACTTATGAAACTCAGTTTTGATCAGGGCTTGCTCCTCATACGCCAAGGTCAGTTCCCAAGGATTGAAAGTTTCCAGCTCTCTCTCTCTCTCCCCCCCCCCTCCAATATTGATTGGTCAATGTCAGGCCTTCCTCCAGGCTAGAGGTGGGTGTAACATATTGCCATATTATGTCATATTATAGAACCACTGCTTTTGGCTGCCAAAGCAAATGGGGAATCATGGGCTGATGAAACATCTCACAGAGTTTAACCTTTTCACAAGCTGTTCCCCATTCAGCGGGTTGCTATTGAAGAGAGGTAGTTTTTATGAGTGGCCAGACTTCTTTCTGCTCATAAGAGAAAAAGAAGCTGAGGGAATTTTCTGTGTGAGTTGAACACTAATCCCCCAGTGGAGATTTTATAGCCAGTTGGGAGAAAAGTGATTGAACTGAAAAGACAAGCCAATTAGGTTCTCAGCCAATATTGCATCATGTTGCAGATCACTTGATAATCTATCTCAGAAGATAATTTTTCTTAATCTCATAAAACACTGGGCCTCATGACATAAAAACTTTAAAGCATTGTGATGCAAATTGTTCCAGCAATTTCTCCTCACCAATAGTAATGGTAATTATATTTTTAAAAAGTAGGGCTAGAAACAATGAAAGATGTCAACTGAAGTCATGTTCCAAAGCAGTAAACTTTTTTCTTTGCGCTAATACTCTATTTTTACAGTTGAAGTGTAATGTTAATAATAAATATCTGCCAAAATAATAATACAAAGAAGTCATCAATAATTCAGAGACAGTAAGAAATAAGATGAGCAGCTGCTCAATTCAACCAGTAAAAGTTTTGAATGCTAATATTCTTGTTTATGTTAAAATAACATTGACATTAGAGCTTGAAAAATAGTGAATTTAACTCTTCTCTGAAGATTTCCCCCCTCTTTTATACTGTAGCAGTAAGTGTAAACATAAATGGGGAAAGTAGATTCTACAAACTTTATAAAACGGGGCTATTTCCAGGTTTAAACAAAATATTAAGTTTACTTCTTGAAATATCCAATTCCATTGAGATATGCAAAAGGAATACCAAACTCAGGAAGTTTGTTTTGCAAAATATAATGAAAGCTATCATTAGTTACTATAGAAAGGAAGAAAAGTCTATAAGCCAGTTATCTTGCAGTGCCAGCATTGACACACAGAGGGCCTGATCTTGTACACATGTTTTTAAAAGAAGATTGTTTCCATATATCCCAGCTAAATGTTCTGCATGGGTAACTCAGAATATCCACACAGTGGCTGGATCTGTCCTTTGCTGTTGATATAGCTATGAGTCCTAGAAAGTTGTACATAACTGTTTCAGAAGAGAACTTAGTCTTCTAATAAATTCAGGCAGAAACAGAAAAGAAGTTAGTTCTCTGGCCATTGATATGAGAAAATGGTTCCACTGTAGGAACTAATTAATTCAGACAGCTGTGATAGAAATGCATGTCTTGGTTTTTGTGTTATGATAGTATTGTTTACCATTCTCTGGTTTTTACTCTTCTTTCTTAGCAGCTTGTTGGCTAGTTCATTATCATTCGGTGGTGCTACAAAAGGAGGAAGCAAACATACCAGGGCTAATGCTGAAAGAAACAAGCACAGATATGAACACACACACACACACACACACACGCATGCATGCACGCACACGCGCACACACACACACACACACACACACGCATGCATGCACGCACACGCGCACACACACACACACACACACACACATCTTTGTTCTCACCTGCAAAGATGGCCCAAGACCTGATAGCTCTTGCAACCAATTATCCAAAAGGTGTTCCAATAAACTTACAATGTGCATTGAATCCACATTTGCCACCAACTAATGCTGTCATATTATTCTGTCCATCTGTAACACCATACCTGAGTAGCTGCAATATATAGTTTTAAAAGAACATGTGCAGAAAATTAGGTGAAGGCATGACACAGTGTAAAATGGCTCCAGTGACATCAGTTATTTAGAATGTTTTAAAATAGTACTGCTGCTGTAGATTAAATGCTGAAATCTGTCTACCACTCAGGGTCAATTCAATTCTAAATCCTTCAAGATGGATTTGGCTTGTATATGACCTCAGCCATTTTTAAACCAAAACTGTGTAAACCAGAAGTGCATGCCATTCCAGCAATTTCAGAATTATATTTTGAAGGTGCTGGGTTCAATCTAGCTTAATAATATAGAACAGTGTAATATTTAGGTACATGGCACTGGACACCTGCAACTGGCGGTCTGGAAAATAGTATTTCTTTCCCAGGTCCATCCCTGCAGCAACCCCCTGAAGAACACTATGTAGAGGGTAAGGAAGAATTCCCCCAAAACTGGGCATACTTCTTTTTTTTTGAATTGTGCTGGAAAGTGAGTTTTTGGAGGGAGTGATGATTGGTTCAGTCCATGCAAGAACTTGTTCCTAGACAGAGTGACCATCTTATTTAATTGATTACATTTATATCATTGTTGTTTAGTCGTTTAGTCATGTCCGACTCTTCGTGACCATTTATATCATAGATTTCCTCTAAGGAGCACAGGGTGGCATATATGGTTCATTTTCTCCACAGATAATTTCTTTGTGAAGTAGATTACTGAAATAGACAGTGGCTCACCATCACTTAGTGAACATTAGTGGCTGAGTGGATTTGAATGAGGGTCTGCTGTAATCTCATCCAATAGTGGAAGTATTTATTTATT